TAACCATGTTTTCTTTTCACTGAGCGAGTTTATGGATTACGTTCAACCTTTCACCTGTCCTGTAATCAACTGCCGTATTTGGCATGGACTGTTGTGAGCGGTCCAATTCGAAGTGACCTCAGTGCCTTGCAGCGGATTTTCTGCTAAGTAGGGTACATGCGGTGGTGTGTATGATGAAATCACTCACCGAAATACTGCAAACGGACAGAGTGACGCCTGTTTAACCTAGTTGTAAATACCCATTGTAAACTCGGAACATGCCTATCAACACATAAATCCGCAAACTTTAATCAATCCTCTAAACCGAACCATGGGTAAATGAAAACAATTTTTAAGCGCGGGGCTTAGAAATGGGGAGAACCATCTACTGATTGCGTGTGCCCTACACTACCCGCGGAGGCTACGTCGGGCTACTTGGACACAAAAGAATCCTCAGAGTTAGTTTGGCTGTAGCGATAGCAGGGAATGGGCAATAACTGCATAATGGCGGCAGTCCATGGAACAACAACTGCTGTGGAAATCAGCATAAGCCACTTGGACTACGGTAGTCAATTAAGCAAGTTCTTGTCCCTACAACCCTCTCTTCTCCCACAAAAAGAGAATTTTGAAGGCTTCCGAGCATTAGACAGACAGGCTGATAGGTAAACGGATTAGGCCCTTCACTTACTCCTCCAATGTCTGCCAAAAATTAAGCACCTCACTTAGCTTAGCCACGATGCTTGAATGAGGATCGAATAAGACCCCCAGTGGTTCTTTTTTCGCCATCTTCAGTGTCGGCAAATTGTACAAATAAGCAGCAACAATGCACTCGTTACCTCGACAAGATACTCATTATGCCCACTTCGGTATATGATAGGCGTTAAGATGTCTCCGTAATTATTCATGCGGAACTGTGGTGCTTAATTCATTCCCCGAGACCGGCATAAGCCTATGAATTTTGGACCGAGAAACGCGATCAAAACAACTGTCACGGTGTCACATAGCTCTGTCTTGTTTGTCAAACACTACATAGCCATGGTAAACCACCAAAGGGAGAGCCGAGTTTACTAGAATCGCCCAAAAGATGTGGCCGAAATATTCTGAACTCCTTTCTTGAAAAAGACTCATAGCTCGTGAATTCTTTCTAAACATTCGCTCTTTGAATCCCACTAAAGTCGATCACCTGAGTTATTTCAAGACCCTCACAACATATCCACTACCTACCCGCGTGGTGTATATGTGACACCGCAAATCGCTTGCCTAATCCGCCCGCATTTCACCCAGATACTCTAAACGGAACGCATTAAATCAGACAGGTAGAACCACTAATAAACGCAACCGGCGTCACCTTGCGGCAACAAAGCGAAGCAGCCGCGGTGGTCGCCTCACCTTGAAGGCTCTGGTAATCAGAAAGTCGAATTCGCAAGAAGACATAACAATTTTTTTTGTCCATTTGGGTCCAGTCGGACTTCGCTCCGCCACCGACTACTGTGTAAGATGGGCCCGAAGTGAGTGGCTGCCAAAACTTGAGGCAGATGCCTTGTCATGGCTCTCCTTCACCTTGTTATTAGGTATCCATCCTAGACAAGTGAACTTTAGCATTTCTAAAATGTGTGTAGCTACTTTTTAATGAGCGTGTTTAGATCAAAGATTGGTCGCAAATTCGCAAAACTTACGCTCCACTTGACATTCAATCTCAAATCCATTCATCTTACGCGCCACCGTCAAGATAAACACATGCATGCACAAATGCATGTGAAGAGGAGTGACTAATGACAAACACTTCACTTGATGCAGCCCCCGTCTCTCTGTTCACATAGACAGCAGCAAAGGCGGGGGGGGGGGGCGGCCTTGTTGTTAAAAAAAGATTAAAACAACAGTGTTTACTGGGTCCCGGAGGGCCTCATCACTGTCCAAAAACTGCCTGAGCTCACAGGAACAATAGGCGGGTGGAAGAGAAATCGCTACAACGCTGGGGTGAAAGATAGTTGCACTTAGAAATTCTTTTGTGTGCCTTTTTGACAGTAGAGGTGCATACAATTACCATTTTAGGAAGACATTCAAACATCCATTTAGTTGTAAATAAAGGAAGAGTACATTTAGCGAACAGCCTTGTCTTCGGAAAGGTGGCTATACCAAGCACTGTCATAGGCGTCTAAGTTCGAGAGCATTTAAACAAGCGATTTGACAACTTTGAGGAAAAGAGAATTAAGGGAAGGGCTAGGAATTCGACCGTGCTGCCATGCTCGGTGAATGGAGGGTGACAGCTGTCACGCCCAGTGTACTCCACTGGGAGTTGAGATTCTTAGCCCATAGTCCCCATGCAAAGGCGATTAGATCCTGTTGCACAGCATCAAGAGAGGATTGTCAAGCATGCGAATGCAGAGGGAATATCAGAGGTTGTTTATTCTCCTCCTTTTGAGGCGAAAATTGCCTTACTTTAACTGCGGATTAGGAAAAGTCTTATAAATAAACCGCCTTTTGGCTCGAAAAAAAACACTTCATTAATCCCATGGGGAGGTAAATTCGCGGATTGGTAAAATTTGTATTTCATCGGCCATATTTTAAATCAGAAAAATATATTTTGTCCATTTCCTCAGCTTTAACAGGTGCTTAAATCGCTTCTGGAGGCACCATTGCTAATAAGACCTAATTCGGTCCTTTTTCGAGAAGAAAAAGACCGAACTCGGTGCATTTAGTCTTGGTAAAAAGACAAATTTTGCCGTCGATTTGACCCTTTAATCATGCCATCTCTCATATACACTTCTCAGAATATGCTACTAAAGAAGGTTTGCGACTTGTAAGCAACACGTTCAGTCACCGCAGCTCGGTGATTGTACTGGTATAACTTAACAGCAATACAATTGTCTCCGGAATAACCAAGCATGCATTTTTTCGCATACCGTGGAAGTCCTGCGTCTTCTGCATTGCTTTTCGTCCAAACAGCCTGCCTGCATTTGTCGTAACCCAAACTGACAAAGGGCCGTGTCACATGTTTACTACGTAGGCATGACACCAGATAATTCAGGCAGTGTACACACGAGGCTACAGCGGCAACGAAGACGCCGAACGATGTCCTGACGGGAGGGCGTAAAAAAGGCTAGATGCCGACTCTTTTTTGCTTTCCATCGTGTGAGTCAGGCGTCCTGTCTAATTGAAAGTCTGGGTGAGACAAAGGGGAGGTGGCAAAGCCTACTTCATCCAATACAGTTTAAACGCCATGACTTCTTTTTTGCACAAAGTTTGACACTGTCCCGGCATCAGTAATCAGGTCGCTAAATATGCAATGCTCCGAGTTAGATTGGTTTATATGGCTTCACCATTCCTGTAGTATCAGATGGAAATTAAGGGAGACCCAAATAGACTTAGTTGGAGTGGCATTAACTTGGAAAAGAAGCAGAAAGAAGGAATGAAATTGGGAAGTAGCTAGAAGAAACTACTTTAAAACGTTGCATTTGGGTAAATCTTTCCTGAAAAAGTCGTTTGGAATGCGAGATACCCTGACCGTGGAAACTCTGGTGTGGTTGAATGTCCTCTTGCTCCGATGGGCAACCATTGTATAATCCGCCTTCGCACAAGAGGCGGCGATGGCAACACCCTTCACTGGATCGGAGATGTGTAGTTCGTTGTTAAGTTGCTTGCTGCAGCGCAACGTGTGTGAGTTACTGCGTTCGCTAGCGGTGTCACCTACCTACGACACTCCGGTTCTCTTATTTGAGCCCGACGTCACGTAAATGTAACATGCGTGCCTGATCAATTTTTGACAGGTGGTTGGGCCAGATCCTACCTCACACAAATGTAAAAGGGTTCTCCAGTTTATTAGTAATTGGACATCTCTGAGCTATCGAGAGGCAGTTGATTTAGTGAGAAAAGATGTCGTACAGGAAGAATTTAAGAAGCCCGCACTTTGGCGGTTAATCTACCTCCAAGACCAATTCCAGCAAAAGGGTCGACTCATCCGTAAAGCATCCAATTTGTGACCACTTCAAAAGATACACCGACCGACGACAAAATGTAAGGTACGCCCAACTGCAAAACATTTGCCTAATCAGGTGAAGGGTGATGTAAAATAATGGAGCAGGGCCTGAAAGACACGGGGTCTTTGAACGACCTGATAGAATCAGGCCGCAACCAAACAGCGGTCGCCCTCGACTTGTACACGGGTCAGAATCGTGTCGACTAACCCACCGTCCCCGTGGTTGCATACAATCGGTGTCGACTCGTTCCCGTGTGTTGGCACACCGCCAGACGCGCACCCGGTGGAAGCCACGTCTTTGCATGTATTTACGCGACGGGTGCTTACTCATGCACCTGGAAGGCGATTTACATCCGCAGGCCCCGGACTTGCAAACCAACCCCTACCTCGAAATTGGGAAAATGACGAGCCTGTGTTCACTCATAACTCAGTATTTATTGATAATAGTATGACAAAGCACGACTTTTCTCAATAAGGCAATGAAATTTTGCAAAGTATATAGACCGGTGAATTAAGGGGAGGGAGAAAGGGGGTACGAAGAATAAGACTAAGCCCGAGCAACTTAATCTCGAGCTTAGAAGAGAGCCATTAACTCATCTAGGCTTAATTCGCCGTCCTTGTTGGAGTCGAGCTTATCTAAGAAAGCCTTCACATGGTCGTCATCGAGAGGCTCTGCTGAGCACGACTGTAGTGCGGATTTAAGCTCGGCACAGCTAATCTTGCCCGACTTGTCCTTGTCCAACTCATCGAAAAGCTTCTCAACAGTTTTCTGAAGACTAAAAAAAGGGAAAACTAAACATGGGGCGTCACCCACAGACCCGCCTCCCCTGATAAGACAGAAAGACGAATACTTACCTCATAGTACGGCAGGAACGACAAACGCAGACAGACCGAAGACTGCTAGCTACCCGAACGCAGGCCTCTGTTATATACGCGTTTTGCCGAGTGTAGGTTGGCCACCACCATACACCAATGAGAGTGAGGTGTATGAACACAGAACGGTGATTGGGTAGTAGCGAGTGTATTTTTGATTGGTGACTCCTGTGGGTTATAATATTATTGGTCAAAGTGATTAGTACGTGTTTTGGGGTTGGCAGACGTGGTTTGCTAAGGATGGAATTTTGTGGAGTACAGACGGTTTGCCCGTTTTTCCCCAGTGTATTCTCAGTGTGGGCGCGTGAAGTCAACCCAAATCAAACAAACAGAAAAACGATGTAGTAGGCTTTAGGGCTTGGGTCCTTTTATTATTATTACCATCCCTTGGCTTATTGTTGAAGACAAATTCAGTTACCTTCTAATAGATACTAGAAACTAACAGCGCAATACAATAGTGAATGCATTGGAGAAGAATAAGTTAAGCATTAGCTTATCAAAATTGCTGCTGACCGTTTACTGGTGCGAAATAACGTTGCCGCCCCATTTCGACTTCCGGTTATTTATTTTTCTGTTGCTAAGAGGCACAGAAAGCAGAGAATTAAACCTACTTTCACAGCAGATGCAACACCAATGCTGTGGTCCATGTGTAAATGGGGTCAAAGCAAGCAAAGATGGTGTTGACATGTCAACCAGTGGTGAGGAGGTCGGAACCACCTGTCAAAACTAGTGCGTTATCTTGGAGTTAAGGAAGGCTTAAAGACGTGCTAAAAGTGTCTCAGTAAACAGGCAATGCTTTACCTCGTTGGTCTTGCTGTCTCCATTAACATGACAACGCTGTCTCAAATGCAACAGTCTAAGGGACTCAAGTTAAGAGAGCTTGGAGGGCAAATGTCACGGGAATTGTCATCCATTTACCCTTGAATTACAAAAATTGACTGAGAAGGGATAGAGTTATGCTGCAACAAGAGTAAGACTTTAAATGGGTTACGCTATAAATTCAGGACTTGATGAACGCCTTCATGACATCTCTTTGGTGGACTCATAATAGTTGGTACAACGATGTGGTCAGCATAGCAAGGCAAAATGACCTTAGGATTATTTTAGGTTAACCTTTCTAGCAGCTTCCAGCACTATCACTTCTTAAGGTGTATGCAAGATCAGTTGGAGCACATCTCCGTGGTTGGAATGGTTTTATGTCAGGTGAACGAATCGCACAAAGAATTTTACTTTGATAGGGTGTTTGATAACACCACAGTTGCTACTGACGAGAGCCTGACAACCGAGTTATCTCCAGTCAAGAGAAAAGGTACCAAAGGATTGGAACCTGCTACTGTAGATGACATGGGCAAGCCACCGGACTGCCTAATCTGTGGCCGGATTGCGGAAGTTTAGGTCAAATGGCATTCTTATACGAATACTAAATGCAAACTTGGTGTGGAAACTATCTATTGGGGATGAAAATGCGAATTGAATCTTTCTTGGACTAATATTTACGGTATGCCAATATGAAAACAGCTTTGCTACAGAGGCAAAAGTGCTGGAACACGAAAGGCACGGTCGACATGAGAGGAAATCTGTAACACGAGGGCGGGACTGAGAAGACCTACGTATCCAAGTATACAAACAGAAGTCACATCGGCTACGAAGAGGGGTGTTTGAGTGGAACTGGCACCCTTGATTTTATAACCTTCGGATCGGAAGGGATTCCACCATGGCTACTGCCACACGCAGTAGTAACTGCTTGATGTGGCCTTCTCCGGCTACGAGTACCAACGGCCGAGGCACAGATCCCATTTGGGTCAGCGCACCCACCGGTGACAACGTGGCAGGCGGCATTGGTGGCAGTGGCCGCATGCGTGCCTGAAGCAGTGTGGTAGTGGTGAACGAAGTGCTCTGGCAACTGGGATGTCTGACTCGAACCCACGTATCTCTACATCAACACCTAGTGGTTGAGGAGACTGCGGACTCAGTCAGTGGGGTTGTGGGACACTCCAGCATCAGCAGTGGAACACTCGCCATGTGACTTCCAACACTGCGACATGAGAGCGGTGTGAACCATTTGAGAGACGGCTACACAAGTGTAAGTGAGGGTTGGGGTGAGAGATGAATAGGGTCGTGGTAGTTGCCTCCTCACACCACCTCTACTTCCTCCTGTCAAAGTGGTTGCTGTGGTCAGTGCATGCAGTGGATGGAGGACCTGGCGCAGGATGTGCAATCAACACTACCACTGTGAGGCGAAAGTGCGTACGAGACGCATGTTGGTGTGAGACATGTGAGGACCGTGGTTGAGGAGGCCTTTCCAGTGGTACAAGTTGGTGCATATTGGATGGCGAGGCAGTCTTGAGGCTTTGGGTTTCTACTTTTGGTAGAGTTGGTAGACGAGTTAAAGGACACTCGTCGGGGATGCTCT